ACTGATAGATTTAAATTCTTGTAGCCTTAGATGAGTCCAATCATATCGTGCCTGTGGAAGAACGACCATCTTCAGGTGGTCATATCTATCTTTCAAATTATTCCACAGTATGACTGGATCTTTAATAGTAAGATATTCCATTTTCAGGCCCTCATCAAGGTGATGGCGTAGGAATATCATTGCTTTGGCACGGTCTTGGTTTGATGCCTGATTTTTATCCTTGATGGTGTCTGCCAGACCCGTCGCATCAAGATGAATTTCAGCATCAAGCACCCAAGACATGTACCTTTTGCCCGATATATCCAGGGCTCAAAATTCAAGTTTAGAAAGATTTGACATTATATAGAAAAAGAAAGTTCGTACCTCAGATACTTTCAAAGTATTTGCTCGAGATGGCAGAGTCTCGTGTTGATAACGTGTTATAAAATGAAGACTGTAAAGTAAAGACAAGTATGAGAGAAACTGATATATTATTCGAATTCAAACTGATGTACATAATGAACTGAAATCTATTCTATTTATAGAAGAAAGAAAGTTGTTGTGTGAGCTGCTACTGCAAGCTGTTGTGTAAGCTGCTATTATACCAGATATGGATAATCTTCTACCAGGGCAATGATTATCCATAACGGAGTACTGAAAGGATAAGCTCATTATACCCGGTACGGATAATCTTCTACCGGGGGTAATGTTTATCTATAACCGGGTACCGAAGTGATAAGCTTATTATACCCGGTATGGATAATCTTCTACCGAAAGTTAATATTTCCACAACCGGGGGTTTAACCCGAAAAAAACGTTTGATAAGCTTCTTCAGGAGGCTTATTTCCAATAGAGTACTAAATAGATAAACATATTTACCGGCGGAGCCCATATGGATAAACTTCTTCAGGAGACTTATTTACAACGGAGTATGAACATCCATTAATCATAATATATTTATAAATAGTTTTAACTCAAATGGTTTCATTCTTTCTAATGTCCTTTCATTACGAAAAAAAGAAAAATAAAAAACAATCAAAATCCAAATTACGGGTTTCTTTCATTTTGAAGTAATTTTTCCAAAAAAAAATCCAAAAAAAAATCATAAACAAAAATCCAAAAAAATAGCCAAGGATATGTAGGCAACCTCGGAAGCAAGGTTCGGTCAGACTTTTCAATAATGCTTCCCTACGGAGTATCCAAACGGAAAAATCCTCGATTCGCTCACTTATCTTTGCCCGAAAACTCTTCGTGTTTCCGAGCAGAAGAGGGGCAACGCTGTAGCACACGTGATTTTTGCCCGACCAAATACTCCTATCAAAATCTCAAAATAGATTTTTTAGTTTTAGTTTTAATTTTTATATGGAATTTCTAGGAATATTTGCCTTAACTGTTGTGCATTTTTGTTGCATTTTTTGCATATATTAAAAGCATAGAAAATAACCAAAAAAAATATACGTTTATGGTCTCATGCCATTACAATTTCTTAGGTTGATAGTTGCATTTTAGTTTAATATTGTCAATTAATTGCATCAATAAAACAAAAAAATATTATATAAATTATTCCATTTTGGCTTTAATTTTATAAATTAGTACCTTGCTTTCAGTAGTATTAAATCAATTAATCATTTTTGGTTATTACAAATAGATAATTAAGTTAATTTTACATTGCTAGGGTTGTTTTAGGATTTAATTTAGGTTTGATGAAGTTTTTAAAATTGGAAATTAAAAAAAAAAAATCAAGTCAATGCAAAAAAGAAGAAGTGTAAAATCTAGTTTGGACCCGAAATTGGGCCAAAACCATTTCTGAGCCCAAATCCCTACCCAATCAGCCCCAGCCCAACTCCCCATACCTGGTCCAGCCCCCCATACCCTAGAGAACCCTTCATTCCCCCCCCCCCCACCTCTCTAACCTGCAAACCCTAGCCGCCCCTAGCCCTTCACCGTCTTCGTCGTCCTCCACCACCGGAAATCGCCTCACGGCATCGGCGACACCTTAAACCCGCCCAAAATTACACCATATACTCCCCACACCATCCTAAACCTTACCCTGCCAATAGATTTACCAAAAAACCTCACCAAATTTGCCATTTTCAGATCTGGAATTCCACCAAAAACCTAGGTCGCCCAAATAACCCTAAAATTACACCCTATAACCTCCACACTCCCCTAAACCCAAATCCAGTAATGATTTCCCCAAACAACCCGTTGAATCCGTCAAATCTCAAATCTGAAAAAAAGAAGAGCAACTGTCTTTGCATGTTCAAGGTCCTCCGTTGTTTCTTCATTCGTGTAGTTCGAAACTCACCCGAAATGGATTGTTCTTGACAAGAACAATCATTTGGGGTCAATTCTGAATTATCTCGAAATTCACCTTTAGAGCCGCTTCACATTCTTCATGGACCTCCCTTGTTAGGTATTTTTCTGGTTTTCGTTGTTTCATTTTTAGGTTTGATTTCCCTCCCCTTAGTACTTTCCACTATTTGTTGTTATCCCAGTTTTATTATTTATTTTTGTTTTCTCTTTCAATTTGACAGTAGTCTGGGATCAATTCTTAGTTAAATTGTTAGTTTAATTGTTAATTATTAATTATTAATTGAGTTAGAAATCAAATAAGTTCTTTTGATTAAGTCAGCAATTCAGTTAGTTTCTTTTAGGTTGCCATGTCTGATCAAATCACTGTTTTATTAGAATTTTCTTTGATTAATTAGCCGTTTGATATAAGTCATAGCATTACTTTAGTTTTAATCAGTGTATGCCTAATTACCTAATTAGCCTAGGGTCAACTTTTGTCTCATTCAGTAGTTTTATTTTAAGTGTTTCAGCATTAATGAAAACTTGTAGGGGTAATTGAACAATAAAGAAAACTTAAGGGGGGTCATTGGAAGGGTGTGTAAATAGAAATAGGATAAGACCATGGTATAAGGTTCTAGAATATGGGCAGCTGACCCTATTTAGCCAGTACAAAATACTAAAACCAATTAGGGGCGGCCAGCTGTCCAATTCTGTTGAAAGATGCTCTTTCTGGGCTGAAGGGAATAATTCCTTTATACTTTTCAGCACATGGCATTTTGATACCTATAAATAGAACCTTTCTTCACTCATTAGGCAGAAATTTCCGACCTTAAAAATACCTCTGAAAATCCAGCTCTATTGTTCCATCAGCTTTTCCATTTTTCTGCTTTTCACTAAAAGTTTGGAACAGTTTCTCCTTTGGATTTCTAGGTTTTCTTTAGCTGAAATATGACTTGATACTAAAGCTGTGTGTTGGTTGATAGTGTTGTTTCTTTGCTGCTGATTCTGATGTTTCCTACTATCTTCTGCTGATTTCAAAAAAATCTATTTCCTTATTTTTGCTCTGTATCCAGGTACTTCTTTGAGCTTTGAATGTTGAATGAAGTGCAAGCATGTTTTTGAAGGGTGTACTGCTGCTATGAAGTTTAATATTCATGATGAATTTCGGTTTTTTTTTTATGTTCTTTCAAGTTATTTAACTTTTTCCTTTAAACTTCTTCCTTTCTAGCTTCTACTTAAGTGAGATAAATCTGATGTGTTATTCCATGAAATAGTTGGGATGTCTAGTATTGGATGTTCTGAATAGTTCATTTTTCATGTGTTTGTTTTGAAGATCAGGATGAGTATGTAATGTCATTAGCTCATTTTTTTATATTAAAAGGGCGTGTTGATTAGTATACTGGCCATAGTGTATTTTTAAGTTTGAGGTCAAGTTCATACACTTTCAAAAGAAAATCATGGTTCAATTGCTAAACGATGTCCAGATTTGTTATTTTAGGAATCCAGTATTGATAAAATGATTATACATCTGATGTTAAGTGTGATTAATTAGTAGTATAAAGTAGTTCAAGCTAATATTACTGTTATTAATGGCGTTATTTATGCATATGTGATTTTCAGAATTTAATATAGTGTTTTGTTATTTGTGTGTTTGAAGAGATTGACTTCAGTTACGGCATTAGCATATTAAAGGCCTTCCTGTTAAAATTGTTGGGGCTGGTGTTAGCCCAAAATGGGACAACTTGGTCGAAATCAGACCTGGCAAGGTCTCTGAGTTTGTTTTCCATTTCTTGGCTTAATTTCTAAGCCCAAGCAACATCAGCGTTATTGTTCTTTAAAGAGTTTTTGTTTTTTTTTTATTAAATAACATAATGGGCCTGCTGCTGGGCCCATCTTTACAGAATAGTTAAAAGCACAAAATTTTTCCCGTGCTATATACAATTCGTGGCCTTATTACAAACTTCAAATTAGTTTAGAACATGAACCTTCGTAGTTTGCTTTAGGCGCACTATAATAAAAATTATCATAGCTATGGGTACGGTTCCCGTGACATAGTTGTGATGCATAATTTTCAAATTCGGGTGCACATTTCATATTACCCGGCCACAACTTCTAACAATGTTAATAAAATTAAACATGTTGTGGATCGTGGGTACGGTTCCCGTGACACGATTCGCAGTGTGTACCAACAAACAAGTGTAAGACAATCGTAACTTGTTCCAGAATAATTCCATAAATAATTAAAAGCGGTTTTTCTTTTGAAAAATGCAATAGGCTCTAAATATGTAATTAATCAGATAATTAGGTCAATATTAATAATTGAGCGACCGTTCTAAAACCACGGAACCCGGGAATGCCTAACACCTTCTCCCGGGCTAACAGAATTCCTTACCCAGATTTTTGTGTTTCGCGGACTGTAAAACAGAGTCAAACTTCCTCGATTCGGAATTTTAAACAGGTGACTTGGGACACCATAAATTATCCCAAGTGGCGACTCTGAATTTGAATATAAATAATCCCGTTTCGATTGTCACTTAAACTGGAAATACTCCCTTATACCCCTTTCGGGTAGAAAAGGGAGGTGTGACAATGTTTGAACAAGAGATAACATATGACTGGAAACCTTTGATTGTCCTACATGCTTGTAAGTAGGGCATTGCTGCCAACAAAAAGACAGTGTGAGACCAATCCAAACCACCAGGAACTGGGAACAACAACCACAAGCTATGAAGAAGCCTACAAAGCAAGTATGGGTGAAAGAAGAACAAAGCAAAACTGTAAAACAAGTGGAAACTAACAATGACAAGGAAGAATCAGGCAATAAGGGGAAGATAAAGAAGGTGAGGAAAGCTGGACAAAAGTGCGTGGCAGATCAACTGGGAAGACAATTAAAGCAGGCTAACTAGAGAATACACAGCAGCTATTTAGCATAAATGGTTTCAATTCACTCAGGGAAGAAGCAAATAAATAGAGAATGGAACCACAACATGCACAATTTGAAGAGGGGGAGGAGGTAGTATAGGGGTGGATAACATAACTCAATTTCCTTTTCTACTAAGATGAAGATAGCTACTTGGAATATTCGAGGGGTGAATAAGTTGTATAAACAAAAGGAGATAAAGGAGTTTATTAGAGAAAATAATATTAGTATTATAGTAGTAATAGAGCATAGAGCTCAAGAGAACAAAGCTGCAAGTATAATATATAAAATTGCACTTGGATGGGATTGGATCGCTAATGCATCTATTACACAAAGAGGGAGAATATGGCTACTATGGTACCCCAACCTGGCAGTGATAAATGAACTGGGGGTACATTCTCAATTCATACATGTTCAAGTGAAAGGGATAGTTATGAATGTTGAATATCTTTTCACTGCATTTTATGGCTTACATAGTATAAAGGATAGACAGGTTTTTTGGCAAAAACTGGAGCTAATGGAATCATGAAAGCAAGAACCCTGGTTAATATTGGGGGAATTCAATTCCATATTGAATGTAGAAGACAGAATACATGGTACAGAGGTGCAGGATATGGATACAAGGGACTTCAGAAAGTTCATGATAGAAGCAGGGATGATAGAACTTCAAACAATTGGAAGATCATACACATGGAGCAATAATCACACATATAATAGGATTGATATAACAATAGTCAACTCAAATTGGATGACTACAATGCCACCTTTATCAGTGCAAGTTATGGATCCTATATTCTCAGACCACTCTCCACTATGCATTGAATTGGGTAGGCCAAAAAACAGATACAGGAAAGCATTCAGATTCATGAACTGTGTAGCAGACCATCCTAACTTCACCAGGGTAGTAGAGGACAGCTGGAGACAAACTAATAATGCACACTACATTAAGGACATCTAGGAGAAGCTAAAACATGTTAGGAGTGCCATCAAAGAACTTAATATCAAGAAATTTACTGGGGTCACAGAAAGAATCAAAGATATCAGAGGCAAACTTAAATAGGTACAAGAAGACATGAGAACTCCAAACCACCCACAGGAGTTATTTGAAGAATAAAAGGAGCTGAGGATACAACTTGAGAAATGAGATTTGATAGAAGAAAGCATATACAAACAGAAATCCAGGGTGCAATGGCTAAAGTTAGGAGACTCCAACTCAGCATACTTCTTTGCAAACAAGAAGAACAGGAGAACACAAAACCACATCAAGGCCTTAATGTCTACTGAAGGCAGAATGCTACGAACAGAGAAGGGCATGGAAGAGGAAATACTCAAATTCTACAAGCAGCTGCTAGGAAATGCAAAATACAACACTGCCAACAATACAACCTAATATAATCCTATGCTGAATAGAAGGCAGCAACAAGCACTCATTAGACCTTTTGACAAAGAAGAAGTATATCAGGCACTACAAGGGATAGATGAAAATAAAGCACCAGGGATGGATGATTTCAACTCATGCTTCTTCAAAAAAGCCTGGACAACAATTGGGGAGGAGGTGACCAACACAATAATTTAGTTCTTTGAAAATCAAGACATGTACATACCAATAAACTGTACTGTTGTTACACTAGTGCCAAAAGTAAAGAACCCAACTTATGTGAAGGAATTCAGACCAATTTCCCGCTGCACTGCAATATACAAAATCATATAAAAAATTCTAACCAACAGACTACAAGGAGTTATGGATGATTTGATTGATAATGGACAAGATGCTTTTGTTCCTGGTAGGGTGATCAATGATAATATCATACTTAGCCATGTGTTAATAAAAGGGCATGGGAGGAAAGGAATATCACCAAGATGCATGATCAAGATTGACATGCAAAAAGCTTATGATTCACTTAAGTGGGTGTTCCTGGAGCAGGTGCTTATTGGATAACTTCCCTGATACATTTGTGAAATGGATTATGACTTGTGTACAAACAATATCATACACTATTTTAGTTAATGGTAAGGCAACTACTCCATTTGTAGCAAAGAGAGAGGTGAAGCAAGGGGACCCCCTATCTCCATATCTGTTTGTAATAGCAATAGAATACCTGACTAGGCTGCTGAAGACTCTGAAGAACAACCCTGATTTCAACTATCACCCTAGGTGTGCAAAGCTGAACTTAGTGCAGTTGGGATTTGCAGATAACCTGCTACTATTCTGCAGGGGAGATGTGATATCGGCAAAGCTACTGTATGCCTGTTTTGAAAGCTTCTCAAAGGCATCTAGTCTAGTAGCTAACCAGGGGAACAACTCTATATATTTGAAGCAGTTGCTCCTAACATACAATAGGAAATCCTGCAAACTTTGGGTTTCCAAGCTGGCACACTGCCCTTTAGATACTTAGGTGTGCCTCTGAGCTCAAAGAGACTATCAATTGGGAAATGTCAACCACTATTAGACACGATGACAGGAAGGATCACTATATGGACAGCAAAACTACTGTCTTATGCATGCAGATTGCAGCTGATAAAGAATGTACTCACAATATAATTCTGGCCTTAAATTTTCATACTGCCTAAAAAGATCAGACAGGTGATTGAAGCAATTTGTAGAAACTACCTCTGGACAGGATCAACTGAGGGTTCCAAAAAAGCTCCTATTGCCTGGGAAAAGCTGTGCTTACCAAAGGTTGTAAGTGGATTGAACATAACAAACACTGGCTTATGGAACAAAACAGCCATCCTAAAACACTACTGGAGTCTAGGGCAGAAAAAAGATAGATTGTGGATCAAATGGGCACATACATATTATATAAAGGGGAATATGATGCATGAAGTAAAGCAAAAACAAGCATCCTGGATAGTGCAAAAGATACTCAATGCAGGAAAATATATTGAAGAGGCTGGGCTAACAGTTGAGGAGATTATGAACAAGAAAGAGTTCTCCCATAAGGCAAATGTCAACCTGAGAGGTAAATATTCCAGAGTTCATTGGAGGAGGCTGTTATGTAACAATCAAAGTAGTCCAAGGTGGTCTTTCATATTATATATGGCTGCACAGAGTAGACTATATACAAGAGATAGGCTTATCAAATGGGGGATGCAAAGTAGTCCGCTATGTATTCTATGTGACCAGGAATAGGAAATCACGCAACACTTATTCTTTGAGTGCAATGTAGCAGATAAAATTTGGAAAAAATTACTCACATGTTTGGGTATAAGCAGAGCTACAATGGGGTGGTCTGAGGAGATAACATGGGCAACAAATAATGCACGAGAGAAATATGGAAAAGCTGAAATATATAGAATGACATTAGCAGGGAGAATCTATTATATCTGGCAGGAAAGGAACCTAAAACTATTCTAGAACAAACGTAGATCTGAGGAGGTGATTGTGAAGATGATTATACAAGATGTACACTGCAGAGGAAGCAAAGTACCAAGGCTAGCAAAACAGATGGCCAGCCTAAACTTCTACCCATGAAGCAACAAAGGAGAAGGTCGAACCAGGTGCAAAAGATACACGATACTAAGTAGAAAGATTTTTGAATATTGTTAGAGTTAGCAGAGGAGGCTAGAGATGCACACTAAAGTTGGGGCTACATGTCCAACTTTAGGATGAAGACATGCTTGTACAGAACATTCAGATAAATAGAAAATTTATTTACCAAAAAAATATATATATTATCGACCACATTTTTCAAATTTTTGGTCGATTGTTTTTGGAAAATTCTAGTAGTGAGCAAAAGAGAAACAAACTAAGAAACACACGTTATCAATTGGAAACCAGATTTATTTTCACTCATGCATAACACTATAGAATTACATCGATCACACACTCAAATTTCAAAACAAGTACATCAAAAAGCCAGTACGTACATGGCATTTTATTCTAAGCATACTGTTAATTAAGTAAGAGCAATACTTAAAAAGACTCTCAAGAGGACTAGTAGTAATATTATTCAAACATATGGTCCTCAAGGAGCAACTAATAAAGATGCATGCTCAATCAATGCAGCAGCTGTACATGATAAACTTCTCCATCGGACGGCTGCATTCAGCACAAACCACTCTCTCAGGAATATGACCAGTGGTTCCAGGCAATATGAGACGTGTGCAATGGTGAGGAGTATGAAGAGCACGAAGTTGACGGTCCACTGAAGGAACAAATTCAGTGATATCTGTGACTTCATGTTTCCAGCGTTCAAATCCTCTCATAACTTGCACCATCAGGTCACCTTTACCTCGAGTCATTTCAGCCAATCCCCGGCTAAAAACAGCCCATCCTTGGTCACTTCCATCATAGCTTAAAATGGTGACGATTTCTTGAAGAATTGGGTCTGTTTCTCCAGGGATGTCTTGTTGAGTCCTTGAGTGCCACATGCTTTCTAACCTTTCCCAAAAGAACCAAATGAGAGTTTGGTCTTGCACCACATGGCTTAGGTTTTCAACTTGGATTATTGCGCTGTTCTTGCGAACTCTTTCCTTTGGATTTCTTTTACCCACGTAGAGCATCTCTAGAGGGATACGGGCTGCATTTGCAGCAGCTCTTGTCGCAGTTGTGAAAGCTCTGATCCATTCGATGTCTTCTCCTCCATACAAGCATATGCATTTGCCTTCCCCAATCTGCATGGAAAAAAATATGTAGATAATTTAAAGATGATGATACCTCATGATCTGTGTGTATGTGATGGATTAATTGATTAAAAGTACTAATGTTTAAGAGAGTTTAACTTAATTACCCAGGTAAATATGTTTTGATCAATGGAGTCAGCTAATAGTTCAATATTCCAAGTTTGTTCTCTCCATAGAGCTTCTTCCCTAGCTTTAGTAAAGGGAAATGCCAAACTTCCCCAAATCCACAACATATGGTAAGCATTGTTGTTTGTTTCTTTACCTTGAGGATCAAGAACAACAAGCTGAGGCTTTTTATTGAAACCCCAGATCTCTTTGATATATCTGATGACTGCAGGATCAATCATAGAAGGATGAGCTACTGAGTACCAGGGCATAGAATCTTGGACTTGTTCAAATTTCCTTTGCTTTTCTTCAGTCCATGTTGTTACTCTTTTGTCAACTACAGGAATCCAAACAACCTCATAGTTACTCTCAGGCCTACTTGGTTGTGCCTGTGATTCAGCGTACATATGATGGAGAATAAATAGCTCCTCTGCTGCAATGTCCAGATCTGACAGCAAAAGCAATACATGCTTCCTCCTAAGCACATCAAGACTTACCTAAGCACATCAATTAAGTAATTATAAGTAAATCTCTTGAAGATATTAATTGTTAAGAAGAAGAGGTAGTGATTGGTACAAACCCTTCTCTTATGAGTTCCATCAAAAAGAGGGAGCTGGTCATCCTTGGAATAAATCAAGATTGACAGTATCTTCATGTTATCGATGTGGGGTGTCCTCAGAAGTCGCAAAAGTGCTTCAAATGCATCATGTTGCCTCTTCTCCTCTATATCACAAACAAGAATATGTAAAATATCCTAGTTTGTTTTTTAAACATCAATTTAATTAATTAAAAAGATCGTAACACATGCTTACCAATCTTTTGGTAACATTGGTTAAGAACCTTTCTCAGGAGATCCAATATGTTGGCAAGCTTGTGAGCCAAACTAGATATCTCCCAAGTCTCGGATGTTGTTGACATATACCTAAAACACATATTCACAAAGTACATGGTAAATTGTCAAATAACACTTTAATATTTCTATCATTGTGTTGTCAATATTAGAGTTATTTTTTAGCTTGACTACCCACTTTAGAGAGGAGTTCACTCATATGCGCAAGCATAGTAGAAAAATTAACCTGTTATAGCAGGTAATTTGTCTTATTTTCCAGGTTTTTAATCCAACTTTTAATGGAGGGTTATTTGTAGTTATTGCATACACGGCATGATAATGTAAAAATCTTTTATACCGTCAGCTTATAGAAGTTAAAGTCGTTTAAAAAACATACTCGTGGCCTGTGGCAATGAGATTCAAAATGATGGCTGTACACATGACAGCGGCCCTTATAGTCCAATAGGCAGCAGTGGAAATATGGGCAGTATTGATCAACATTTCGAGTTCTTGGGTGATAGCATACTGATGATGAGATGTTCGAATGTCTCTAAACTCGATAATGCACTTTGTGACATCCAACATTTTGTTGATCAGATCAGAGATTGCATCGAATTTTGGCTTAAGAACATCGGTGCGCTCCATGATTTCTGGAAGTTCCTTAATGATTGCAACTGACTTGGCCAGTGGATTTGTTGGATATTGTTGAACAAGTAGCCAAAATTCACCATATTGTTGAGCAAAGGCTGCAAATGTTATTGCTACTTTTGTATCCCAGGCGTAGGTTGTGAGCGAGTGAAGCAACGCCATTGTTGTTGAGTGCGGGTCATCTTTGTTAGCACATTTGCATATCAACTGTACCATAATTACATTCACATCAACCATCAAATTCATCTCAAATTAATATTAGACTCGAGATGGCTTCCAAGAAGGGTTTTACTTATATCCGCTGAATGTTTTTTAAGAAGAATTTAGAGCCCGTTTGGACATAAGAAGAATTTTCTTTTTTTTTTTTTTGAAAAGAGTGTTGGTTATCAAAATCTTACAATTTTTCCAATCTCACTTGGAACCGCATTTCCAAATGGGAAGTTGGTAGTTTTTAGTTGCAAAATATGTTGCAAAAATTATAACCAAACACAACTTCATCTTCAAATTCAAATTTTAGTGAAATTCCAAATTTGAATCTTTTTTTTTTTTGGAATTCATGTCCAAACACCTACCTAGAGTATCGGTGCACTATAACCCGTTGTAGCAGGTTATTATATGTCTTATTTTGCAAGTTACTAGTTTTTCCTGTTTATAATTAGGTAATCTAATAGCTAACAAAGAAGTTATTTTACGCTTGGGGGTTGGGGGG